ATGCTATTCCAGAGCAATATCTCTCAATATGGAAAAGTACTTGCTACTTCTTCAAATAATCATGTCCATTGAGACCTTCGTGAATGGGATGTGAATGAGCAAACTATTCTTCGACATGACTTGTTGGCCAATCTCAGTTTACTTTTGTGGGTGATATTCGCTCACATTCGATCAGGTTGAAACTGCATGCATTGGATCGTAGAGTTACAATAAAGGAAGCGTAATGTACATTTAAACAATACACTGTTTATTATGGCGATGTTACAACAAAGAAACTACAATGTAACAAGAAGGCAACTGATGAATACACTATAGAATGCCCCTTTTATAGGGTTCAGTAGGATTCACACCTATTGATTAAAATAAGAGGGAGACACAGTGATAGGTTTTCAATGTTGATACATCAGCTTAGAATACATGCATACATAGAATTCACGTAAGGTGTGACCTGAAATAGTTCATAACGGTTAAAGTTAAATAATGTACGTAACACACTAGGTCTTATATAGCGACCTTAGACAGTTCATAAATGACAGCTGATGAATCCTTTCTTGAGTCTGTATAGCGGCTTTGCACGTAGTTCGTCTGAGGTAGAATGAATGGCTGTCTGGAGTAGGAGTTTGCGTTGCGTTTGAAGTTGTAGATGGGGTCGGAGAATGCGCTTTTGGCGACGTTTTCTCTTTGGTATGTTTGTTGACTAGAAGTCACTTATCTCCAGCGAATATAACTTTGTGATTGGCCGATTGACTCTTTTGCAAATGATTAACAGTTGCGTCCGATTTGCGATCGGAGACAAAGAGTTCACAAACAGGCCATAAAGCATAATTTCCTAACCATTCTGGACCTTGCCACCAGAGCGTAGAATTACGTAATTCCTTAGGGTTAAGTCCACGTGTTAATAAATCTGCTGGGTTAGAGTTGGTTGGTACATACATGCTCTCTTGCGGGAAGCTGTTGATCTTCGTTATGCTGTTTGTAGTGAACTGATCTGGTTTGCCACGATTATTGATCCAGTGTAGTACAATCTGGGAGTCTGACCATAAAACATGACGGGTGATGTAGACAATGCGGAAGTGACAAACTTACTAAGTCGGGTTGCTACTACTGCAGCCATGAGTTCAAGTCTAGGCAATGTTAGTGTGTTGTTCTTGATTGGTGCAACACGTGTTTTTGACATCACCAGTGTGGTTTGATTTCCCGATTTTATGTAAACAACACCACTGTAAGCTTTGGTTGAGGCGTCGGACAAGGCGTGTATTTCGTTCTTGTTGTTGTTGTCATTGGAGAAGAACGTCGGTTGATACGAATGTTGGTTACTTCCCGTAAGTCGTGAGCTATATTTACCCAGTCGCGCTTGAGTTCGTCCGATATAGGGGTATCCCAATGGAGAATTAGTTTCCATAGTGACTGGATGAGTAACTTCGCATGAACATGGACTGGTGAGAAAAGACCTAGTGGGTCATAGAGGCTTGCTGCAAAACTGACTACGTTACGTTTTGTAGTCATAGTGTTGATGTTTGGTGAGTCTAGTTGTTTCATGTAGAGGACGTCACTGTCGGTATTCCATTTCACGCCTAGTACACTGACAGTAGTATTTGGGTTTGCCTTGTTGTCCCGGATAGCTGCTTTACGAATAGTTAAGTCATTCGTACTCCATGATCGGAGGGTAAATCCACGTGCAGATAATAATTTGGTAGAGTCTTCATAAAACTGTATGGCTTCATTGGTATCACGACTGCCAGTAATTACGTCATCAACGTAAATATTATGTTGTAAATCTTTAGCTGCTGGTACTTCCGGATGGTTATTCAGTCGATTCTTGACAGCGGCATTTAATATGAATGGGCTACATGTGGCCCCAAACAATACGGAAGTGAATTGATATGTGATAAACTCACTGTTTGGGTCATTAATGTCCGATAGCCATAGGAACTTTGTATATTTTCGGTCTTCATTGGCAAGCCTTATCTGCAGGACGGCCTTTTCGATGTCACTTGCTAAAGCGATCGGGTTGGACTGAAAACGAAGCAAGATTGCGGTTAAATCGTTTAGTAGAGGTGGTCCTGTTTCCAAACAATCATTTAAGCTGGGTTGTCCCATGGCTGAGGTCGCACTGCAGTTGTACTCAACTCGAATTGGAGTTGTAGAGCTATCGCGTTTCACGGAGTGATGTGGAAGAGAGTGACCACTGGAGGTGTCTGCTTGCTGTACACGCTCGATGAAACCATTTTCTAGTTGATTAGAAACCACCTTATCGTAGATGTAAGCAAAATCACATGTCATTTTCTTGATCATGTAACGAGTGCGTTTATTCGCAATGTCAAAGTTCGTTGGTAATGGGTTGTGATTTGGCTTCCAAGGTAGTTTTGCAGTAAAACGATTATTTTCTTCAGACAAACAATTTGTAGTATAATTATGAAATTGTTCGTCCTGTGTGGTCTTCTTTTCTGGGGGGTTCATCACATCGCGGATACCGATAGATTCTAGCTCCCAGTACAAGGCGACGTTCTTGGTGAGCAGTTCATCGTCAGACTTGATAGCAGTTAGATGAAAAGTCTATACTTGATTATTACCAGATTGACCAGTGTAAATGGGCCCTGACAGTAGGTATCCAAAGGATGAGCTGACAGCTGTAGGACCGTTGCCTCGGACGACGTGGTTTCCAACAAAGTCCCAATACCGGTCTGCACCTATTAATATGTCTATTGTCATAGTAGGTGCATCAGTGATTGGATGTGCGAGCTTGAGTTTGCGCAGGTATTGGAGTTGGTTTATATCGGTGTTTACATTGTTTGTAAGATTGTCCGAAATTTCCTTTACATAAAGGAGATCGATAGGTGCCTGGTTACCATCACGTTGATGTAGTTGCAGAGTTGCAAAAGACTTCAGACTAATAACTTCTGTGCTGTGTACTTTTGCGTTGACAGTCTGGGCAAACTGTTCAGTTACAAAGGATCGATCAGCTCCTTCGTCGAATAATACTGTTGCGAGTGCAGTATTGCCCCCATATGAAGTTGGAATTTGGGCTGTTTTTAGTAATACACGACGTGTTCGCGAATCAGGTGCACATCTCCCCTGATACAAGTGTTTTGGTTTAGTCAAATTGTGTGAAGCATGTGTAAAATTCATGCTCACGTTAGTATTTTGGATTTCTGATTGGCTGGAAACAGTTCTGTTGTCATGGAGTGACGTATGGTGTTTACCTTGACAATGTCTACACGTGCAGCGGGACTTGCAATGTTTAACAGCATGGTTCCCGAGACAATTATAACAAAGTTGTTTCCGTTTGACGATGTCCAGTCTTTCCCTATGGTTGGAAATCTTGACACAGTTTGCGGGATTGTGTTGTTCATCACAGTACACACACTGTCGTTGCGATGGTCTTTTGCACCCGGGGTTGTAGTTATTTACAGGATTATGTCCAGTGGTTGCAGAATAACTATTTGTAGCCGTGTTATAATTACCGGATGCTGTTCTCGTGTAGAATGCTGCAACGGTCGAGTTTTGTGGGCTGTCAAGATTTGGCATTTCGCCAATTGTTAGAATACGTATTTCGTTCAGCATTAGTTGACTTAGATGTGACCACAGTCAGCTGGCGCACACGTGATAATAAAATAAATACGATATTTACTATATGGGGGCCGCCATCTTGAATGACGCATAAATCTAAATAAGAGACAACTTATGGCAGCCCCCATAAATTAAATATCGCATTTATTTTATTATTATATCAGATGTGCGCCAGCTGACTGTGAATGTGACAATGTCCATTCGTGATCCGAGTTGGCTCGAGCTAGCTGGCGTTGGAATTCTATGGGCAACTTCTGTAAAAGGAGTGGTATGAGTAGTTTCCCATAATTAGTTTCGCCTTCGCCGAGATTCTTCAAGCCCCGAATTATTGTTTCCAATTCGTAAGCTGGTCGGGTTGTTTTCTGGCGGTACTTGCTCCCATAGAGATGTCATGTATGCATTGATGATAGCTTGTTTGTTGCCATACCGTTTTTCGAGTAGGTCCATGG